TTAAAAAGAAAAAAAAAAGATATGGAGTACTTAGAGCTAACGGAAGATTTGGCGCAAAAACAAGCCTAATATCGTTTTAGAATTTATATAACCAATCTCACTTAGCGAAATAAGACTCGGTGGTTGTTATTGTTATTGTTGTTATGTAAGGTTCCTTGTTTGAATCCTATCTGATGTATGGTACTTAAAAATCAATAAGGTTGGTTGAAAATAATCAATACCACACTTCCATGATCATATTATGTGCATTTTCGTAGGATTACTTATCCTACTTATACTTAATCTCACTACTTCGACCTTGTGGCCTCGGGATTAAGACACGTAACTCAATACAGTATTCGGGGACCTCAACGCCATGGATAATGCTCATTAAAATTGAATTCAAAGAATATATTACCAATCCATCCCCCTAATCATGTTTAGCATTAACAGGATTATTGGATTAACATGCGGAACTCTTTTCTCTTTCTGCCCACCCTTATTTGTTATATTGTCTTTAATGTTATGCACTTACAATTCAATGAATCCATAATCCCATAATATCTTATCAAGGATAGTGTTATCCACATACCTCTTTTTATTTCATACACTCCCTCTTAATTTGTGGCCGTCGAATTGATTGAATTAAAGGAGATCAAATGACAAAAATTAACAAAAAGTGTGTAAAAAGTAAAAATAAGTGCGTGGATATCACATCCCTCTCATCAATGTCGTACATTGATAATTTATCTCAACTTGTTTTAAGAAGCCCAATTCTCCTTTAACTGGGAGGGTGAAACTGGGTCTGTTGAGCCCTGAACGGAGTTTTCACCCTTCAGAAAGCTTCTCACAAAGGCTTAATTAATCGTGGTTGACCGTGGGCCACTAGAAAGTCAAACAGATGGTAATAGGCCCAGATTCTCAGGCCCAATAGTACTAAACAAGATTGCTAGATGGAATATCTTCTCATTGCTTGAGAAACAGAACCATTTTTCTGGCAGAAGCTTTGAGAGAATTTTATTTTTGGCCAAATCGTTTACCTTTTCTGTCCAAATTGAGAAGAAATTGAGGTATGTTTCGATGATAAATGTATCAAAAACTTTCTTTTAATCATTTCCTGTAAAAGTGTCTTTAATTAATGTAGAACATGTGTTGCATATGAAGGACTTTGTGTTGTCCCAATTTGTAGGATCAGAGCATTTCTGTGAACCCTCACCCCATTTTCTTGTAATAATCTTGACTTTCATGTGAATGTACAACCTAATTGGGCGAGTTGATATAAGAATTAGACCCCTTCTATCTACTAGGGTTTCATATTCTTAGATTGTGAGAATACCTGCAATTACACAGACCCCGAGATTCGAGAGGGGGTATCCCTATGAAGATATCTCCATTTGGAGAAAAAAACTGTATCAATTATTGAAGAAATAACACCGTCCCACAAATATATGAAATCTCTCGTCTTCTGTATTTTTAATTTCATATTTGATTTTAGATATGTGAGTTGTTCTAGTAGGACAACGTATCGAAGCTTCTCTCTATATATGATGTAGTTTCATGATTCAATGCAATTTCACAAAAAGAGTAGAAGGAGAATCAGCTAATGCTCTCTATGTTATGGATGATGATGATGACGACGATGACGGGTTTCCACAAGTGGTTGGAGCATTATCAAAAGGTGATAGAGATGTAGGTGGGACGTTAATGGACTATTATCACACCCGTGGAGAGAGAGAGAGATCATGCATGACCTCCTCATCAACCCATCAAGGTTTTTAAATCAAGTGTATACACGCATCAACTTTTCTTATCTTTTTCTTGTCCCTCCTTTCTTTCTTTCCATCTAATAAGAAAATATTAGCAGCAGCAGCAGCAGCAGCAGCCATACACATCCTTCAAGCAGAAACTTCTCCACAATTTTTCGTACCAAAATATTAATTATTGGTTTGAACTTCTATCTTGTCACACCACAAATTTCTATCTTGTCACACCAGTCACTACTTTTCCGGATCACCAAGTTTTTTTTAGGTGCAAAATTTACTACTTCTTTATTCTTCTTATTGTCTTATTTTCTTTGTTTCTTTCTTTTCCGATATAATTCAAGCTGTGTTGATCGAGTCTAATGGAGAGTGACGACCAAGTAAGCAAGAAGGACGTGATAAAGGTGGAGATTCCATCGGATCATCAGACTGATCAAGTCGTGTGCGCCGGGCTTATGAGACAGCAGAGCATGACCAAGAACAATTGCCTTTGCTCCCCGACTACGCATGAGGGTTCGTTCCGTTGCAGGCTTCACCGGACCCCGAGCCTCCAGCGGACGAAAAGCCTGAGCTACACTTCCCCACGAGCCCAAGACCCAGCGTCTAAGGCTGGCTTATAATGCAACCTACCTCTGCTCATCACCATGATCCTAAGCTTGTAACGCCAGTAAGGATCTAATGAAAAATAAGAGCGTTACTATATGTATTATTTATATCATATATGGCATGGCTCTTTGCTAAAGTTTGGAAATTTTGTATTTTCTCTGTACTTTGTAACCATCCTTATTTTGTATTGAGAATTAAAAATATGGCATTTTATCAAGGGTTTTATAAGGATCATTCATTTGTGAAGTGACATGGGCAATCGCTGTAAAACCTAGCACATCTGTAGTATAATTTATATCGAATTTTTTCACTAAAAGGGCGATCCCAAACTAATAAGGCTATCCGCTTTGCGATGGTCCCAAAGGGGAGACGTCTACCGTACGCAACCTTACACTTGTTTTTTGCAAAGAGGCTGTTTCTACAATTCTACTACACGAAATCTGGTTGGTTCTTCTATGGTTTGTGTCTTATTGCAATACTTGAAGCTCTGTGCGTGGCAATGTTTTTCTATACAATTCGACACTTACTTAAGTTCCTCATATAGTGGAATGGCCTTACTAACTGAATGATTGGGGAAAAAAACTTTAAGACAACGAAATTGCAAAGTAAAATACATTTGTTTTCACACAATTATGGAGAATGTGGAGGAAAACTGTAATAAACCATGACGATGGTAATCATATTGAAAATATTGAAAGGACAACGATCTCCGCCACAATTATGTTGTGTCGTGTCACCGACTTAGCAAGTGGCCTCTACTAAGTTCAAACCATACACGGATATTCGTAATTGTAGGTTATTGTTGTATTATCTCGACGTGCGATCCTGCACATCTCGCACATAATTCATTTGGCTTGTATCGAGCCAAACAACACCAAATTATGAAGCACCAAATCAAAGGTTACAAGTACATACGAGAGAAATTCCATCTCTCTCTGTAGTCTGTACTACTTTCCCCAAATAGTAAGTAAGATGTCTGTTTCTGCATGCAGAATTCGATCTCAATGATATATTGGCATCTGACTCACTATATTCCTAATAGCATTCCAACAAGACAATAGCAATGGAATTCCTATTGCTCTAATCATTTTTGGATGGCAAACATGGAACTTTACGTATCAACAGGAGAATGAAAGTGACCCCAATTTGTTCTTGCCGATTGGAAGTCTCAGTTGAATTGCCAAGGATGGTTAAAATTATTGCATGTAAAATCCAAAAGCAAGCAAGGTAACATTTTTGTCTATCGATTGTACTAGTTTCCGCAGATAATCACCAATAACTATTGTGGGCGTCGTTGAGATTATTGCTAAAATATGAAGAAATATTCTGAATTGTATTTGTCTTCTCCATACGGAAGAATATAAATAGGATAACACGCAGCGGATTATACAAATTAAGTCCTAATTCTAGAAAAATCGAATTTACAATAAGTCAACTAAGCTCAATTGTGTTGAGCTTACCTTAACATCCGGCACGAAAGGATGAACGCGCGATAACATAACTGCTTAAAAATTCTTGAGCCGCTCAGTAATTTTGAATTCGATATTTACATTCTAACACGATCGGATGCTCGTATTGTAACATGAGTAACCCTTTAATAGGCGCCAAATAGGCTTTTGACATTATGATTAGTTCCATGCAACACAGCACCAGGTAGTTTGATGTCATCCTCAATTTGAAAAAGATTATAAAAAACAAGAAATTTGAGGTGAATGTGTCGGTCAGTTGATGGGGTATGATTGTTGTAAAGATCGTATTTGTACAATATCATTCAGTTTGGAGATCGTTTTGTCATTTATACGTGTTAAACTAATCAACGGTTTTAGTAATAAGTATCATCTTTACGATGAACTGTTCATTTGTGTTATGCATATGAATAACTAAAACATCTCCCTACTAACTAATTTTTTGTAGGATCAGGATCCTCTCTTGAGCTTAGGAGGCTGAGCCTCCTGAGCAAATCACACAGACCGTTGATTTTTGATCTAACGGCTATAATTATTATAACTTTTAGAGGGGCTCCCTGTTTGTAGCCGTTGGATCAAAAATCAACGGTCCGTGTGATTTGCCTAGGAGGCTCAGCCTCCTAAGCTCAGGAGAGGATCATGATCCTTTTTTGTATATATGATCTTTACATGATGATAAAAATAATGAACGGTTCAAATTATGAGCTCGGACAATATCGTAAGTGATTAGATAAGTAAGTTCCCCATAAGAAGACACAAACATTGTTCATCTAGATTTTACTCCAGGTAAATCATTTTTGTTTCTTCTTGTATGCTTTTTTGACTTCTTTACTTTAAATCCTTAATGGTGCTTTGTTTACAGCAACTTGTCTCAACTTTCCAAAAGATTTCCCCAAACCAACCGAAAAAAAGAGTACATAATTTTTCTGAGAGAAAATATAATTTTCTATTATGCAGTGGAATTTAATTTGCAGAAATTCCAAAACTACAGCAGTGCATTTAGTCAGGTACATGAACTCCCCTCTCACAACACAGGAATAAAATCTGATTAGAAGGTGAGGATCCAATGGAGGTGCAGCTAGGAGACAAAGACAGGTGTTGCAGATTCATGGACAGTGACAACAAAATTGGTCCCACAAAGGGTTTGATCTAGTACAACGAATTGAGATTTGCAGCAGCCACTTGATCATGCCCTGAAGATCTTCTTTCTTATTACAAAAGATTACATGAACATTAACTAATGCACATTGGAATCCTTCTTAATTTTTGTTCCTAGTAAGTTTACAAGGAATGAGGGGAGCGAAAAAGCATAGTATTATATGTTGTTCTTTGGAATATTTGGATTACCGCATTCCAGCTTGGAGAGAACTTACATACACCGAAGATATCACTAATGGTGTGCTAGGGAAAACAAATTATACAAAAATCACTCAGTTCTTTTCACTGCTAGTTCTGTTTATGGACCACAACTTACTGAACATTCTTTTGGGTTTAGCAGGAAGTGAACAAAGAGATTTGAGCTTTGAATTTCTCCCAAGTCCATCAGGATGCATATCATTGTCGTCCAAATCATCGTCTTCATCCAGTTTCATTCGTAAAGTTGACGTCTTTGACTTTGGCGATTTCAGGCCTGAAACGCTCCATTGATCCTCTGCCGGAACAATACTAGCGTTGCTTAGAGAGGGCGGAGGCTTTGACGGATCAATGTTATGCGAGGCTAGCAGAGCCCTAATGTTGCTAGGCAGCTCGGTCACTTTGCCGCCAGCCATGGCGGCTTTAGCTTGCTCAAAGAAAAGAACTTGGACCACCACTCTTAGTGGGAGCAGCTCATTTTGTGCAGCATGCATGCAGACCTCCATTGAGAGCTTTTTGCAGTCTAGAATTCTGCAAAGCCTCTTCCTTTCACTTTTGTTTAGGTCTGGATGTGCCTGATTCGAAGGCATAACAATAATTAGCGAATTTTCTATAAGTAACATCAATAAAGACCAACTCAGAGCATAGAACAAAATTTAATGAAAAGAAATTATGATTAATTATTATGCTATTGAAAATGTGGACTCACCCCTTCTAAATTTCTAGTGGATAAACCTAACCCTAACTTATAACAAGTTGTGATGATGACAAGATTTTAAGGTCAAGAGAGTTGGTTATCTAATGGTGTCCCACATTTGGAAATTTGACAATGAAATATACCTAGAAATCTAACATAATAGTCGTCAGTCCGTCGATGGATAAAACAGACTGTCAATATGTTATGGATAATAGTCAATGTTATTGTCGTCGAAAAATGTGTAGACGTGTTATATTTTCGTTTTCGAACAGACTGTCAATATGAGATGGATAATATGTCAGTGTTATTGTCGTCAAAAAACGTGTAGACACGTTTTATCTTTGTTTTCGACAAAAACAATGCCCTTCCGTTCTCTATGAACGTCCTGTGCAGATAATTTATAAGACAGTAAAACATGAATTGAGGTAAATTTGAGTAACTTGTTATTACCTTGAGGTAAATGTCAATTGCTCTGTAGAGATCATCATGGTCAAGCCTTGCAAACTCTGGTATTGCCTCAGCAATTGCAATGAATTTTGAGAGGGACAGATTGACATCCCGGGCAATCTCCCGAAGATACACATCTATAATCTTAGCCACCTTCAGCTTCGAGCTATGTGACGCCGAGGAAGATCTCCGGCTCTCCTGAAACTCAAAATCAATGTTCTCCGCAGAGCGAGACCTCCTCCTTTCGAAACCAAGCTTGGACCTCGGAGGACTAGTTGGGGGGCTCTGCCCCTGCTGCAAGAAGTGCTCCAAAATTGTCATGACTATGTCCACATCATATCGCGTGTCGCTTTCACACGACGCAGAGGGGATTAGCAAGTCATTGACTGTTGCATCATCCAATTGAAGCCCTACCCTTCTAGCCAACTCCATTTTTGAAGAAGAAGAAGCATTGAGAATGTTGGCTGCCTTTAAAAGTTTAAGCAGAAAGCTAGTGGAAGCAGCACCTTTTTCGACTGGAACTAAACTTACGATGGACTCCAAGATCAACCTATGCTTTGAAGTTAAATCATTGGCCGAGTCTGAATCCGAATCCGACGCTGCTTGTCGATGATCACATTCGTTTTTCGATATTTTAGGCAACCATCGAGCCGCATAAATTTTCAATGCATCTCCAATGAGACTAGAGGGAATTTTCCCACCAGATTTTATAGCAATCATAGTTCTCCAATACAAATCAATCCCCAATTCTGCAATGTCCTCAGCCCACCATCCCCTGCCTGTAGGCCTACTGTTATGCCGGAGGCTCTCGGAGCCATTGCACGACACAATGTCATCTCTGCCCCTCCTGGAATAGCTGTGTGACAGGCTAACTTTGGAAGGGTTTGTGAGGACTTTTGTGGCAATTGCTTCAATGCACCTGGATGTGATTCCAAGCTCCTCCGACCACAGAGGAAATGCCTTCGTGCTCTGAAGCGTGGCAATTGAGTCCCTCCAACCGTGGAGGATGCAGGAGTTGAAGAACACCTCGAGTTTGTATACAAGGTTTCCCTTCTCGACATCCTCGGTCATCTGCAGGTACTCAGCGGCACAGCGAGAAGCGACAATGTTGTAGGCGCTGAGAGTGATAGTGATGCCGTAGCAGAACTTTGCGCAGAGCTCGAAAGCCTCGACGCTACTGGGGAAGTCATGGAGCTGGATTATGTGGTGGTTTGAAGATTCTTGGTACTCAGAGCAGAGCCTCTGCAGCCTCAAACACTTGGATAACAGAGGAAACTGTGTGACAAGTGGAAAAAAGAACAATTTTGAGAAAATCCCATGTGTGACATTGAACTTAAATTACATCAAAACATGAACTTCAAGAAATCCCATAAATTTATTTTTGTGAAAAGTAGTACGTGTGTACCTTGTGAAGCAAATATCTGCTTCCTTTCACTTGAATTATGAGATCACTAGAAACTTCAGAGGAGACTGACCTGAATTGAACAACAAAAAAAAAAAAAAAAAAAAAAAAAAAATATTTAGTACCTCTGATTAATTGAACAAAAATAATTTTCATATTGAATCAGAAAATTCACAAAAAATCTTACCTTACAGCATCAGTAGCGTAGAAAGTATCCGGCCGGGATCCAAGTTTCATAAACTTCATGGCTTATTCCTCTGTTTTCTTCTTATGTGCTCATCAGAAGCTCCTTAACAGATTTTAAACTATAATTTCCCCCTATTTAATTAGAGATTAGTCCAAAGAGAGCTCAGCCTTATAAAAAATAAAAAAATAATAAAAATAAATAAATAAAAAAAACACTTCAATAACAGAAAAGAAAAAGAAAAAGAAAAAGAAACAGAAGGGTTTTGTTGGATGAGATATGGTGATATATATCGAAGAACAGAGGAAACCAAGAGCTATTGTTTTGTGGGTGTGAGAGTAAATGAGTTTTTATATATGTGTGTGTGTGTGTGTGTATATATATAACCAGAAAGTTGTTCAAAATGGCAAAACTCAGACTAAGAGGAGGATCAAATTGAACAACAGCAAAGTCCAGGTCCTATCAGTCAAATTCTATACCCCATGTGACCTGGACATGCAAACAAAGAAACCCAAGTCACTCTGCAATCCCAACCAAATCACACACACACAGCAAATCCCCAACAGGTCAATCAAATTTAAAAAAAAAAAAAAAAAAAAAAAAAACCACTAAACTAAAACTGCTCTAAACCAGTAGACAAATCAAGATTATGTGTAGAGAAAATCAGTAACGGAATGATCTCTCAAGATTGCAAATTACAGAGACAGAAGCTGCTGCCAAACACTGGTGGGTGAATGAAAACTTTTCCTAGAAAATGAAAATTTTCCTGGAAAAAGTAGGGTTTGTGGTAACTCGGATGGGAAAATATGGCATGGCCATGACAGCGTGCATTTTCCCATAGGAAAGTCCCACGTGCTTGTCTAGAGCCCACTTGCGCCCTTCTCCCTTATGATTGCCGCACCATTTTTAAGGGAATTGTGAGCAGTAAGAACCCCTCTTCATTCCCTCTTTTGATTATTTTTGTCAAACACTATTTTATACGCAATATCGTATGTCTCTTTGCTTTGCAATTATTAATTTCTAAAAGGGAAATACCAGAGAGGGTTTGAAATAATTGAAAAGCTAAAAATAAGAGAATTGTTATTAGCATTACAAAAATCTCATTGCGTGCTCCAAATTTTTTATAATGAGAAAGAAAAATACACTTGTGAATTGTATTTATACTTTTGAATTAAAAACAAAAAAACAAAAAAAAAATATAATACAGAAATAGTTAGCAATGGCCCTATGAAATAAAGTGTCGTAACTGCCCTTGTGTTCTGCTGCACTATCGAAACTACCCTTTTATTTGCATTTATAGCATATGGCCCATGAATGTGAAACTTTGAATATTATTGGTGTGTGACATGAAAAAGCATGCATGAATTATGAACATGATGTTATATATATAATGGGGCAAATGATAGCTTTCTTTGGTCCTAAACATTATTTAATTAATGGGATATAAATCATATTCCATGAATTATGAATATGATGTTATAATGTGGGCAAATAATATCATATTTTGGCAGTTGAAGGTCATCCTACCACACTATTTCACATCGGACTATTAAAGGTTTGAGATTTTTTTTTCTTTTGTTCATATTTGTGTACATTTCTTGATACATGATCGTAACATGAGCTACTGACAGCAATGTAGGGCCACAATAGTGTAAGCATACGACTTATACCTAGTCAGGGGATATAAACTGTACCTCTTGTAATACCAAAAAAAGAAAAAAAGAAAAAAGGAAGATAAAAAATACATGAAAAAGAAGGGTGACATAAATCTTATCCCTCTAGAAATGAAAACAAAAAAGATACAAAGAAAAGAAATGGAACATGAAACCTAACCCCTCTAAAGCCAAAACTAAAAGGTACAGCACCACAAGATTGGGGGGGGGGGGGGGAAAAGCCAGAAAGTGAGACAACCTATATGTTGGGATGCATATTAATTTGAGAAGCAGAAGTCAGGCAAGCCAACAAAGTTTGAAAATAAAGCAGCACGAGCCGCCGACGGAGGGAAATCATGCCATATCAAAGTTGAAGAAGACAAACCCATGTTAGCAAAAGTATTTGGAACAACATATTTTTTATGATATATGTGAGAGGCATAGAATGTCATCTTCCGAACACGGTCCAAACAAATAGACCATTGTGTACGAAGAGGCCAAAGAAGATTAAAACAAGTCAATTGAAGATTGAAAATAAGACAATGTGCCAACCCCACTAACATGCAAACTCTACCCCGATAATAATTGCTGAGAATTTAGGGAAAAAAAAAGAACTGCGATGATCAATCCATTGCCAGAAACCACCAACAAACTGACTATATACAGCAATCCTTGAAAACTCATCCATAAGCAATAGGACTAGATTTTCCCTTCGACAAACCATCTGTATTAAGTTCAATCCAAGAAAACCAAGGAGGCAACCAAATCATAGGAAGAATAGTAGGCTCCTCACGAGAGATAGGTCGGATCCCCAATAAAGAAATGATACGAGTGTCAAAGACTTAGAAGTGACCAGAAATAAACTCCCTACATTGAGGGTTTGCAAAATTTATAGACATGCAAATACAATGAAAAGAGATTGGTTTACACTACAAAAAAAAAACATATTTCGAGCTTTTTAAATAGTCGAAATAGTAGAAAGACCCGCAAAAATCCACAAATTGTGCAACTGTTGGAAAAAATAAATTGTAATATAGAGAAAATAATGACTTAAAAAAAAAAAAAAAAAAAAAGCAGCATGAGTCGTTGACAGACAAAAAAGTTTGAGCCCCTTGATATATGATCAATCTAAAGTTTGGGGCCCTTGGGAAAAAATTAAACTGTAATATATGATCATATGATTCTACTAAGTGGCCCTTGGTAGTTGAACTAACCTCATAGAAAGTAACATTGGTATTGTTTATCCATAATTTTTTTTTTTCAGTTTTTCTCTTTTTGCCTAGACAAAGTTTGGGCGGGTTTAGGGCGACTCTCATATATGCCAAATATCCACCGGAACTCACGAGAAATGCACCGATATTATTATGTTACCAAGTCCCAACACACTCTCAGGCAACTCCAACTTCACTTTAACAGATATTATTGTTGTCCAATAACGGTTTAGCTTTATAGTGAGGAAGGACCAGAATCGCTTTTAGGATTTATCCTATGCACTTCTTGAGGGTGTGAGGAGCATATGCTGCACCTTCCCCTATCATAAACGGTTGGTTACTTGCAAACAAATTATAGGTCAAATGTGTAAAGAGAGGTAGATTTATCAAAAGAGAAGTGTCGAAGGGTTTGTCTACTTAAGTGTTGCACCTGCACTATATTCATGCATGATAACGGAGGAGAACAACCCATTTTACGTTAAGTCCCGATCAATGTCCTCCATATAACACAATCTAAGCTTTGTAATAGCTCGATCAATGTCCACCCTTTGTTTCGTTTTGTTTTAATCCTTTGTGACAGTGGTCCATGCCTACCTCAAATTTAGGCAATTGGCACTTTGCGACATTTGATACTTGGGGCAAGTGGCAATGCAAAATATAAGAGAAATTTTTACGTATGTTGAGAACACTTGTGATATAATGTATCATTTTACGTGTTATAATATGAGTGTATGAGAATGATAGAATTGATATGTCTCACTTATAAAATATATTAATAACAAAACAGATACACATATTATAATTCAAATAAAATAATAACATTACATTATGGTGTTCTTAATAACGAGAAGTCTCTCCAAATCTAGGGCAACTGGCAAGTTCGATATTTTACCCGTGAGTGGAGGGTAAGGTGTGGAATGAGTGGTGCTGAATGCTGGTAAAGGTCATTGTGAACGTAAGTTGATGTCCACCCTACGTGAGAAAGAGGGTGAACCACAAATGCCGTAATGGTCCTCTTGATGCTGCCCAACGGGGTGGCCAACCGACAATATGGGACCTCCAATAGGCCCAGATTCCTCTATGTGCTTCACTACTTTTCTTTTGTACATGGGACCCTCATTGTCTAATACTTGGGGCCCTTTACAGTTTGCAACTTTGCATGTAGTAGACGACTGCAGTTGCCAACCAGTTCTAAAATCTGAACGGGTTTCGGCACTACACCTTCAGACTCTCACACTGACTTTCACTTCCCTCCGAGATTCCTCATACTATAAATCCTAATGTAACCAAACCAATGATTTTCTTGTATGATTTCCTCCACAAAATTTACCACCATTTCATTACCAAGTAATGGTTGGGGAAAATTATCAAACATGCCACAACCTTGATAAAGAGATGTGCCAAACGATAACCTTGAAGCACAAACTAAATTAGAATCCACTACAGAATATAAAAAAATCTCAAAGTTTAGTGAATGAATAATATGAAAGATAACAAACTCTAGCAACTTAAAAGTTCTTTATATAATGCCTAGCCCTAAGCTTTCTAGAAGTATGTGTGTGTGTGTGTGTGTGTGTATAACTAATTACGAAGGTAACAAAAAAAATGACCACATCCTAAAATCTCAAAAGGCTGATACAGCGTAATAACTAGAGAATTCGGCAGAAAAAGCCCCATATATCACATGCTTCATAGCAAACCAATGAGTTGTGCTTGTGATACCACTGTCATGAGTACAATATAGAAATATGACTATTGTATTGATTTGTTTAAAATTTTATAATATATATAGGTTGCATAAATTTTTATTTAGGTAGGAATTCAACATTAATCAATTGGAATTACATTCTTATATACAATAATTATGGAGATTATTCCAGATTAATTTCCTTAATTTAACAATATATTCTCTTCGAAACAGTTAGTCATGCATGAGCCAAATTGGACACCGAGACTCAAATACGCAAACCTTTAATCTTTCATATTTGCAGTTTAAAATTTGATTTTCAATCTATTCGGACATCTGATTCACATCAAAACATATATGTATTAATATATTAATGTCGTCATGACCATAAATTTAAATCACGCATTTGGCAACAATCATCGATCGGAAGCACGGAACGGTGAGGCAAGCTGAGATTCATAAAAAAACACAAGGACCCCACGAATTGTATGCATACAAACCCTGTTATCAAAGTGAGAGTTTATGAGAAGGGGCACCACAATCCCACATTGGAAAAGCTGAAAAAGAGTGTGGTCAGTGCACTGGGGGATATAAGACGGTCCCTGCTGTAACTATGAATGATACAACTCATAAGGTCTCGAACGCAACAAGATTGCACCACAAGAATCGTATCTGGCTCACTTGAATACGTACAAAATTTGATGTGCCAGAAAAACTAATAAAAAGATCGATGAAAGTAAGAGACAGACAGAGACAGTGATTACACAAAAAACTGTGCATGCTTGACATTTGATCTTTCATGTGAGCCTAACAAGGCTTTCGCGCGATTGGATTGATAGTTGCAAGTGACCTTGGCCCTGACTGACCATATTTAATCAGTGTCTCATCTCATTTAATTTTCTCTTGTTTTATTAGGGTTTTATTATTTTTTAGTGCCTAAACTTTTACTTGTATTCTAATGATTCAGGAGAACTTCCATGGAATGAAACACCACGGTTAAGAAGTATTTGTTTTATATAAGTTATTCTCTTAATTCAATACATAAACTATATTTTGTTTCAATTTAGTCCATGATTAATTTGTTACCGTACAGTATTGTTCTTTAATCATCTACTAATATGTTCTCTCAGGTTATACGAGACATAAATTTCGTGATGATGATCTGTCTCTTTCATACAATATTTTTAATTTCTTTTGCTGAATGAGAGCTTGTAAATGAACAGAGAAAGCATATAATTACTGCGTCATGCTTAATTATTTTGGTTTATAAAAACATGAGACAGTTGATTGCAGTTTGGCATGCATATCACGTTCATAGTTCTTCCCCAACAAGGTATATATTCTTTATTAGGTAACTATTTAATAGGTCAGAATCTAACGTCAAAGAACCCTGAAAA